TTACAATTAATTCTTTTCTTTCGTTTTCTTTATTCTTTACTATTCACACATGTGTATGTGCATAGAACTAGTGCTGATTCTTTGCTATTCTTCTCTAATGAAAATGTGAGAATGCATTAGGGCATATAAAATATCATTAGAGAACTAGTATTTTCTTCCAACAACATTCCCATACTTGAAATCAATCATAATTATTAGAAAAAAATATTTTGAGGTATCATTCTACACATGTCATATTCAAGAAGGCTATCTCGAGTTATACACATTAGATTGCTATGATCTTGGTCTCTTTTTAAAGCTTAGAGATAGGCTACAACTTTTATGTTTAGTTTCAACCTAGTTCAATCGTAAGATGCCCAAAAATTACTCAGAAGGTCACGACTGTGACAAGACAACCATGGTAATATGTTTTCTCTTAAATTTTTATCAAACAAATTGCATGCATACTCAAACTCTATTTGGCTACACTTCTACTTCTTTCTCAAGCCACCAATATTTGCAGCAAAACTCCATTAAATCAACTAAACCTGGCCAGAAACTACACTCCAAAAGTCTACTCAAACTCTTTCTAAATTCAACCAAACTTCCATCAATCACAATAAGGCAAAGTCACATTCTCATGGCTGAATTTTAATTATCATCAGTATCAATCTCTCAAAACTTCTCAAAAACATAAGCACATATATACATGTACATATCTCTACAAACTTCCTCAAATCAAACTTAGGGTTAGATTTACTTACCTTGAATTTGAACAACTCCAACACTATACTCTCTTTGGTAGAATTCTCTCCTTTTCAAACCCTAAGCATATACAACCATAAGAATTCAAAACTTTAAAATTTAATCTCACTCTTTGTGCAAGAATCTTCCTATGCATGATACCATGCCTATTACATGAGTAGTAAGAAATTAGAAACAGAGAAAGAATAGAGAAAGAACAGAGAAGAATAAAGAAGTGTGATGTAAGGAAAAAAATTCAGAAATTAAGCAACGAAGAGAGAAGGGTAGCATAGCGGGTTTACTTACTGAGCAATTAGTGCTCACCTTGTTGTTTTCAATGTTTTTGCAGGTAATAGGGGAGACGCGGTCACTTGGAACCTCACGCAACGGAAGGGTTGGGCAACACTGTCGAGTTGACGTTTTGTGACTTTATTATGTTTTATAAAGATTTGTATTTAAAGAAAAATTAATTATGGGCCCATTATTTTATACTTATCTACATGTATATTTTCTTATATATATTTTGTGAGTTTTACTATTATTTTGTGATTATTCTAGCATAGCGGGTTTCTTATGGGCATCCATTCTTTTTTTTTTAATTTTCAATTTTTTTTTTCATTTATAAACAAAATACAAAGCAAATGAGAAATGAAACCGGTTTTGGGAGGCCTAAATTTTTAAACATTTTAATTGAAAATTTAAAAGAATTTTTTTTATTAAACTAAAATTTGTTAATATTAAAAGATGGATGGACGGTCGTCCTCATAAGAGGACGGGCGTCCATAAACAATTCAGGTCAATTTTTTTTTGTTTAAACTATTGACGAACATCCATTCTCGGTGAATGATTGTCTATATAATATGGATGAGAGTCCATTTCAAATGAACGGCCATCCAATAACAATGGATGGTCATCCATATTTGATGGACGGCCATTCATTTGCAGAATATTTGTTAATGTGATACATGGCTTATCTAATTCAGTAGACATATCGTTCGGTGTAAAAATTTGATGCAAAATGTCGGTGTCTGTAGCATAAAATATGGATGACCGTTCATTCGCAGAATATTTGTTAATGTGATACATGACTTATCTGATTCAGTGGACATGTCGTTTGGTGTAAAAACTCGGTGCAAAATGTCGGTGTCCGTAGCATTTTTCTTATATCTTATGTTAAATGTACTTTATTTTATGTCTAAATCAATTACTTAAAAAAAAAAAAAAAATTATAATCAACATTTGGGTAAGAGAAAATATGTTTCCATACCACTTTGAAATACAAATGAAATAACTCTTTTCCATACATCTTTATTACTATATATACGAGAAGGATTTAGTAAACACATTACCAAAGTTTGAGGAACACAGATACACCTAAAGTTCTAAAAGTCTTTGTGGCATTTTATACTATTCTTTATTATCATATTCATGCAGTTAGTTCTGTTGATCTAAACTATCAGCTCTCTTTTATAATAAGCATTTTGGATTCAGAGTGATATTTTGTCCGTAAATCGATCTTGTTGCCTTCAATCCTTTCTGTGCTTGCACCTTCTCAAATATTTGAAGCAGTAGATAGCCGATCAATTCAGGTATGACATTTTCTCTTCTGGATATTATTTTTTCATGTTTTACATTTTCCTCTGATTTATTTTAACATATATTTTGTATCATATACTCTGTAGATTATTAGAAAATAATGACAAAAAATAAAAATTAAAGCAAACAATAAGTAGAACTAATGCAGTGAAGAGATTAGCAAAATGTCACTCTAACCTAAGGTATGTCTCGAGTCCATAGGTAATTAATGTACAATACACCGTAGAGGAAAATTTTCCATTATGGTTTTGGACACGATACATGTTATTATCCGTCGTCAACCCACATAGAATCAAAGGGATCACCGGCCACACTCCTAGAGGTGGAGCCACCCTTAGGCCTGTAAGGTTATCTATCGATCGATTTGAAAATGCTCTAATTTGGCTTTGTTTGTGTGCTGATGTGGCATTGATTTATGTTAATGTGGAGTCAAAGTTTTTAAACTTTGGTGAGAGGCAATTTATAAGAAAGAAAGGGGCAGTTCTGTAATTTTCTTTTTGGGATATTTGTTGTGCCTTATCTCTACACTTTTATTTTGCTCTCTAGATTGTTCTCTGTTGAAGAGAAAGTTGTTAAGGGAATCATCAAGGTGGAGCTTTGGTATTCGCAGGATGAGATCAACGATGGTGATGAGATTTCTTTGTATCTGATTTTATTCCTTTTCTTCTTTTATAAATTTTTGATTAATTCTATGCATTTGTATGTGAGAGGTGTGAGGCACATAGGAGTAATCTAGGGTGGTTTACAAAGGGGAGTTGTCATTGGGTTCTTGGTGTAAAACTGACTCACAAACTCTGTAAGGTTTCTCTTCATAATGTATGTTTTCTACTATCTTGAAGAGTTGATGTACGTAATCAATCTGATTACTAAACTGCTATAAATCTGTTGGATGCTCTTTATTGTTTATGCTCTTATTTTCTTTATATCTCTATCTTGCTATAAATGTTTTGGTTACTTTAGAACTTAGGTTTTCTAAATTGGACAATCTCTAAGAGCATCTCCAATGGTGCTCTTTATTTTGAAGAATATTTTTCAAATAAATAAAAAGTATCTTCATTAATTTTAAAAGATAAAGAACACAATTTTTATTTAAATCTAATAAACTCTTTAAATTTAATGAAGATATTCTTTATTTTTAAGAAAAAGACTTAATGAGAGAGAGAATTAATAAATAAAATACATAGGAACTTGTAGTTTATTAATTAAAATTAAGATAGAGAGTGAAATTAGACCCTCTAAATATGGAGAGTCAAACTCACTCTCTAATTTATATTTTAAAGATGAAGAGCCTGTTGGACTCTTGTTTTTATGGATAAACTCTTTATAATAAAGAGTTTAGGTCATATAAAGAGTCATTTGGAGATGCTCTAAGTTCAACAGTTTGTATGCTCTTTTTTTTTTTAATTTTTCTGTATATTGGTTTGTGAAATTCATATTGAAGATCAAGTTCTTTAATTTATATATCCACCAAAATACCCTGTTCAGAATAAGTAGTTTCTCTATTTAATAGTACCGTGTTTTATATAGGCAGCGGAAGATAATATTATTAATAAAAATTGATTAAAGAATTTCATAAGTTTTTTTGCTAACCTCATGGACTTGCTTTTAACTTTGCTTCTTTTACGTTTCTGGTTATTTTTCTCTTTACAAGAATCCTAGATATTAATAGACTCTTAACCCTATTGACATCAGTTTTCTTAAACCCAATAATAGTTACCTTCCTTTTATTCTGTCCCAAGTCTTTTTTTTTTTTTCAACTAGAATTACATATTATATTACTTTTCCGACATTATAATTAAGATTTATTTCAATTTTTTATATATACATTTTAGTCTGTATTCAGGCTCATATGGTATTGACCCTTGTACTGTCCAACTTAAATAAATTCTCAAAATCACCGTTACATTAGTCATTTATATAAAAGCAGGGGTGGAGCCAAAGCCCCTGGCCGTAGCCCAGCGGAAATTTCTGGAAAAAGAATTTTCAATATTTTCAATGTTATAAATTTAACAAAATGCATAATTTGTTATATATAATAGTCGAATAATTTTTATTTTTTTTAAAGAAATAACTAAAATGTATTTATTTACTATATAATATTTAATTATTAGCTCTAATAAATAATTTTAATTATCTAAATTCTCAACATTTTTGTTAGAATTCAATTTATACTACTTTTTTTTTCTCTTGTTCGAAACTTCCAACACCTCTCTTCTTTATTTATCTACAATTTTAAATTAAAAAACAACTCTTATCTCTTTTCTGGACTAGATTATAATAAACTTAAATTTATAATTTGGATATTATATTTTTCTTATAAATCCTCAAGAATGTTATTAGCCCTCCGGAAAATTAATTTTACTTTCACCCCTGTATAATTATATTTCTTTTATAAGTGTTAATAATCAGCTATAGTGAAACAAGAAAATTGGATAAATTATACATTTTTTCTTTTTTAGAAACCTTTGACAGTATGATGATAATTTATTAAAGATGAAAAATTCATACATTGATGTATAGTATTACTTGTATTTTAGTAATTAATCTTTCATTCCGTCATAATATGTACAAGTTATTTGTGATAAGAGAAACTCAGATGAGAAGTTGCATATTCATTTTTCTCAAGTTAATGCTCTGGATAAATTGTTAACTTTTGCATATTATATGTTTTACTAGGGTAAATGAAGATTGATAGAGACAGGCCGAAGTTATCAAATGCTTTCATTGAAGAGCATAAACTCAGAGAGTTGAAAATTGATATAGACGAAAAGTTAGAACCTGACTCTGAGTGTTGTATTTATAGGGTTCCTAAAGAGCTTCGCAAAATAAATAAAGCAGCATATACTCCTCAATTAGTTTCAATAGGTCCTTTCCATCATGGCAACAAGGATTTGGCTGAAATGGAAAAACAAAAAGTAAGATATAAAAAGGAGTTTGGTGAAAGAATGATTGAGGAGAATTGGGAGGATTTTATCACCTTCATAGAAAAGGAGGAGCAACACATTCGTAATTGCTATTCAGAGACTTCCCCTCTTAAAAGTCTTGATTTTATAACAATGATTTTTTATGATGCAATCTTCATCATTGAGCATTTCTTGAAATTTCAAGAATGCAAAGATGATTTTTTGCTAAATAAACCATGCTTCAGAGCTGGTTTAAACCGAGACATACAATTACTTGAAAATCAACTCCCATACTTTGTCCTCGAAGAATTATACAAGTCAACTATAAATAAAGTACAAGGGTACCCTAACTTCCTTACTCTTTCTATTGGTTTCTTCTATGATAGTATGTGCAGTAAAAAAGAAAACTCTACTTATCATCCAAACGTTAATCATTTCACTGATTTGAAGAGAAATAGTTTGCTGCATATCCACCCTGAAGACAATGATTATTTTTCACATTTACCTTCAGCAGTCAAACTGAAAGAATCAGGAGTGAAGTTTACAGCTCTTGAAGAAAGGTGTTTACTTGATATAGAACGAAAACAGAGAAATTTTAGAATCCCAATTCCATACTTTAGTGGAGTTGAGTTAAAAATTCCCCGTTTGGAAGTAGTTGACGACACGGAAACTGTGATACGGAATGTAATGGCATTTGAACAATGTCATTATCCATTAAAAACTCACGTTTGTAACTACATCAGTTTCATGGATTTTCTTATCGACACGGAGAAGGATGTAGATTTGCTTATTGAAGAAAAAATTATTTCAAATTTGATGGGCGACAGTGCTACAATCGTACGGATGTTTAACAGACTTGGCCTTAACATTAATTTAAGTAAGTCCTGTTATAGTGGCATTGTCAGGGGTCTAAATGCACATTATAGCAATGGCTGGAACCATAAAAGGGCAACCTTGAAAAGAGTTTATTTCAGCAATCCATGGAAAGGCACAGGAACTATTGCTGCAATTATACTGCTACTGCTAACTTTAATACAAACCATTTGTTCCATTAAGCAAGTTGTGTGATTTCAGTAATTGTATTAGGAGATAGATCTATATTCAATGTGTATTTTTGTATTTGAACTTTGAATTCTTGTATTATAGTCTTGTTGTATATTTTTAAGTGTAATATGCTTATCATTTCCATGGTTCAAATAAATCAATTGGGCACTACTTTTATGAATATAGTTAAGTCTTATATATTAACTCCATTGACATTTGACACAATTTTATTTAACTCAGGACTACGTGATCACCATATCTTCAACAATCCACAGCTAGTTTGTTTGTTTTTGAGATCAATATAAAATCATAACCACAATAAAATTTTAAAGAGTTTTCGTATCTTTGCAGCAGAGGATATTATGTGTGTGCCAGAGTATGTACATCCTTCATCATAATTAATTCTTTGTTCATCATAATAAATTTTTAAAGAGCTTTAAAATCTCATAGCGAAGGATTATGTGTGGTAAGTATATACTTCGTACATTATTGTTATGATGCAACATAAAGAAATTCAAGCTTTTGACTTCTGGGGTTCGGATGCCACAACAGTTCGCCAGAGAATATAGCGACTGAAACCTCATTAGGTCACAGCTCACTTTTCCCCATTGAATGCATCTACTCTGCCTCCAGTAACCATTAAGTTGGTTTAGAAAAATTATTCTTACTGGAAGTCCCAAGTTCTTTCTCTCGTAAGGGCATTCGATCTAGAACATTTTCTCACCGAATCTAGAGCTCCCCCTCTAGAATTCATTTCAATAACTTCTGGTCAAGGTAATCGTACACCCACAAACTCCGTTACTCAGTTTAATCTCGATTATGATACATGGAGTAGAATGGATCAACTTCATGTAAACTGGTTAATTTTGTCTATCTCCGAATTGATGATGCGTCATGTTGTAAAGAGTAATAGTGGACAGAAAATTTGGATTGCTCTTGAGAAACTCATTTTAACTAAAGAAAAATCTCAGGTAATGCATCTTAGGTATTTTCTTCAAACAACTGGCATAGGTTTTTCGTCTGTTGATGACTATATACACAAAATGAAAGATGCGCCTGATGCATTATTAAATCTAGAATTAATGTTACTGATTCTGAATTGGTGTCATACATACTTAAAGGACTTGGTCTTGAGTTCGATGCTGTAGTGATAAATTTGACATCTTGCTGTGAGTCGATTTCTGTTGGAGAAGCTCAGTTTTTACCCTAAGCTCATGAGAGTAGATTAGCTGGTCAACAATCTGTTTATTCAATTGATTTGTGTTGGAAATTGGAAGCCAAATAAATCAAGTCTCAGGCTTCCAATTTCATAAAGATGAACACATGCATGAGAAAAGATAAATTTCATTCATAAAAAACCTCATACATGTGCCATAATACAACTTTACATTCAATCCCTTTTTATAGATTCATAAAAGGTTAAGATTACATGAAATAACTGCATTTAAGATTGAAACAAGGAGTTACAACCGAACTCAACTGTTGTTCTAAAATTGAATGTTCAAATCCATGACTTCAGAGAACTTCATCTTCACTCTTGATTAAGGCATTCCTTTTCTCAAGCCACGACATCTTCAACTTCTAATTTGCTGCCAATCTTCATCTTCTAGATAAACTCTGCTGCATCATCTTCATCATCTACCAAAATGATTCAACTTTCAACAATTTGCAAGGAGGCGGTTCAGCCTTTTATGTTGCCAAAAGGCCTCCAAATTCTGCTCCTTTTCCATAAGCATGCTTCATTTCAGTACAATGCTCGAGGTCATGGTTGTGACCATTATGGCATTAGTAATATTCCAATTGCTAATGCAGAACAATACAATCGTGAGTCCTGAATCTATCAACATACATTTAAACATTCAGTTTTTTATATCTTAAAAAACATAAGGTTATTTCATTACTTTGTTATATATTACATGGTTGAGTAAATCAGTTTCTGTTTTCTTTAATGATATAATTTGTTGTGTAACATTGTCTCAATCTAAAACTTGTGTATCGAAGACAAAGAAAGATGCAATCATTTCTTCAAATGCTTCTATAAATACAAATGAGATATTTAATTATGCTCCTTTTCCATAAGCATGCTTCATTTCAGCACAGTGCTAGAGGTCATGGTTGTGACCGTTTTGGTGGAGGCCGAGGCAAGCCTATTTGTCAACTTTGTGGCAAATTAGGCCATGTTGTAATGCTGTACTGTGTTATCATGGGTTTAATATAAGCTATCAAAAACCTCAATCATCTTCTGGTTTTCAAACTCAGTCTATGCCTCCACCTTCCTTTCAACAGAAATCAAACTCTTCACAGTCACAAGCTTATATAGCTTCCTCATCTGGATCACAAGCTTATCCAGCATGGTACCTTGATAGTGGCACCTCGGACCACATTACTTCAGAGCTGAGTAATCTTTCCTTTCAAACTGGGTACAAAGTTGCTGATCATCTTACAGTAGGTAATGGTCAGTTTCTTGAAATCTTACGATATACTACATTATCTTGATCAAAATATGTGTCTAGACGTATTTCGGACTGTTTCATTTTTGAGAATTCACAGAATAGATTAATTGCTGAGGAATTGGATTATGATATCGACAACATGAAAATAGTGCATAGTGATATATGCAAGGGTCTCAACAATGGCCAGAGACGCGTATACGATTCGATCCTTGATTTCGTCAACAATCAAAGTGGAACACTATTTTTTATTTACGGACATGGTGGAACAGGCAAAACCTTCCTATGGTCAACAATCATGGCCAAATTAAGATTCGAGGGTAAAATTGTACTGGCTAAAATTGTACTGGCTTAGCTACATTAGAAATTGCTGCATTGCTGCTATTCGATGGAAGAACATCACATTCATGTTTTCGAATTCCTTTAGATATCACTGAGGAGAGTACATGCGATATCAAAAAGGGGACACAATTGGCAAAACTACTTACGTAAACAACTTTGATCATTTGGGATGAAGCACCTATGACAAATAGGTATTGCTTTAAAGCTCTTGATATAATCTGAAAGATATTTTGTCTGAAAAAGATTAATCAAAAACAGATAGAAATTTTGTCTTAAAAAGATTAATAAAAAACATATAGAATATTTGGAGGCCTCACCGTTGCCCTGGGTGGTGATTTCAGACAGATTCTACCAGTTATTCCAAAAGGGAAAAAACATACATAATACAGGCCTATTTATTGTCATCTTCCCTTTGGAAACAAGTAACAGTGTTGACACTTACAGAGAACATGAAGTTGAAGTCAAACTTGGTGAACCCAACAGAATTGAATAACTTGAAGACTTTTGACAAATGGTTACTTAACATCGGAGAAGGAAGGGACGTTGCAGAAGATGAAAGTTACATCCAAATTCCTGAAGACTTGAAAATCGATCAACATGCCAGTCACAAAGAAACGATTATGAATGTTGTTTTTCCAGATTTATCTGCCCGGATAAATAATATTGATTATATGAGAGAGAGAGAGAGTAATATTGACACCCAAAAATGAGACAGTAAATAGATTGAATGACTATATCACCCAGAGTCTGCCAATAGATGGAAAGACGTATTTCAGCTCAGACAACACTTGTAAAGCAATAGGTATCTCAAACGATGATGACATTCTCTATCCCACCAAATTTCTTAATTCTCTGATGTGCTCCGGCATTCCCAAACATGAATTGCATCTGAAAATTGGCATTCCAATTATGTTATTGCGTAATTTGAATCAATCTGATGGTCTTTGCAATGGAATCAGATTGATCATAACCCATTTAGGAAAGTGATCCATACAAGCAATGATTATCACTGGGTCAAACATTGGGGATATCGTCACAATTCCCAGAATAATAATGTCAAATGCAGATATGAAGTGGCCTTTCAGGTTGAAGAAAAGATAGTTACCTCTGACAGTTAGCTTTTGTATGACAATAAACAAAAGCCAGGGTCAATCACTCAAAATAGTAGGATTGTATATGAAACATCAAGTCTTTACACATGGTCAATTGTACGTGGCCCTATCAAGAGTAACTTCAAGACAAGGTATCAAGATTCTCCTAGCCCTGCAAGAAGATGAACCTGCGGAGACATTGACAAATCTTGTTTTCAAAGAAGTCTTTAACTGTAGATATTAATATGTTCTGTATTATATAATTCATCGTTTATAGCAAAAAGGATCGATACATTGTATATAATATCAGACATTATTTATGAGAGATTGATGTGAAAAATTAAACATATTTATATGAATATGAAAATGTCACATTAAATGTTTAGATATTGTAGACGTAAAAATCTACCTGTACGGAACGAGGGTCTGATCCCGTGAGGTCAAGGCCACTAGCGATCTGCTGCACCTGCACACGTAGAGAAACACACGCGTGAAGCGAACGAGAAACACCGAGGTGGTGTTTGCCGTAGGCACTCCGACGCTCAAGTCAGTAAGGCTGAAAGGGGCTAATATAGTGAGGGCTAAGGAATAAGAGATTTACCGGAAGTCTAGTCGGGGACTGTGACTACGGCGAATTAGTGAAACTCTCGAGTGAAGAGTCTCGGGTGTAAAGGTGTAATGTTCATGTCCCTTGTGAGAGGGCTGGTCTCTGTTTATATAGCGGCCGTCTGGTCTCCCAATCTTGGTAGAAGTAGGAGTCCT